GAGCCACAGGCGCCGAGCCATAATACATTATTGTTAACTATAATCACTTCACTGAGAAGTAGCACACTAGAACTTACTCTTCTAATCTAGTGTTTGTTAACCAATGTTTCCCATTCCTCTACCCCACTACTCCCAAGCCTCCGGGGAGTACTCTGTTTCTGTGAGAACAACTTTTTAAGATTCCCCACGTGAAATAATGTGGCATTGGTCTTTTTGTATCTGGCTTATTTTATTTAACATACTGTCTTCCACCATCTACGTTGTCACAAATGACAGAATTTTATTCTATAATGCTCCATTGTGTGTATGTGTATATATATGTCATGTTTTCTTTATCCATTCATCCATTCATGGAAACTTTGATTGCATTTCTTGGTGTTGTGAATAGTGCTGCAATAAACAGGGTTGTGCAGATACCTCTTTGACATACTGATTTCCTTTCCTTTGGGTAAATACTCTGCAGGAAGATTTCTAGCTCTCTGCTAATCCTTTTAAGACCTAGTTCAGGTGTTTCTTTTGGGAAGGATGCAGTCACTGAGATTATTCTGGTGTTCTTAATTGCCTTGTGATTAGCTTTGTCTTAGCGCTATATTATGTTCAATTCTTTTTTTTTTTAAGCCTTTTAGTTATTTTTAGTTAAAGAAAAACAGCCTTTTCCAAGGATGACAAAGTGAACTGAAGATCAGAAGGAAGCTGGGTGTGGGTTTCTCATAAGCTCTTGCTCCAAAACCTGGAAAAGAGGAAAGACGGCCCTCCTGGGAGCTCTGGGAGAGACTGGTGCAGCAGGGAGGATTCCTTTGGCAGAGTGAGCAGAGCTCCCAGCCTACCAGTGGTCACTGGATTGGTCTGAGTGGGCTCTGAAGTGATTTCCACCTGCCGGTCCACTAACATGATGAATATTATTATTCTTAGGGGGCATTAAATTAAGGAATGACACAGGGAACCAAAAGAGCGGCATATTCAGTTGGATTCTGAATCACAATCAGGAAATAGTCTTTATCTGGTGCAACCATAATTTCATTTTTCTTGGAGCGAATTCGAAGAAAGGTGATGTCATTCTGGGGGTCAATTTCACGCATGGTGCTCTGTGCTTTCAAGATGAAGTTGTGCATGAGGTTGGCGTACTGTGTGGTGGTGGGATCGTCTGTGGTGCTCTTGAGGGGAATGCCTTCTGTGTTCACTAGGATGATTCCCTGCATTCCTTTCTGGCTCTGAAGTTGCTTCAGTGTCTCCTCCACCTCTGCCATTTTTGACCGATCCTGGAGCTCCGCTGTCCTGTGTTCAATTCTTTATATACTAGTTTGTCTTCCAGGGAGCTTCACGAGGGGATTTTTGTCATGGAGAAATGCTCACTCTGTGTCCTAAGTCCCTGGCATGTGAGGATCAAGTATATCAGGAAAATTGAGAAGCAAAAGGCCCCGTCGCTAATTGTGGGGTGGGGCTCCTAGAGTTAAAGGAAAACTCTGAGGGGGGCACTCAGTGGTCAAGTGGGAAAGTATGTTAGAGATTTGGAGGATCAGGTTCCTTGCTGAAGGTTTTTGCTTGTACCACCTGTGATCCTCACCAGCTTCTTCTGAGACAGGTGGCATCATGAAAATACTAATGGGCAGAGAAATAAAGTAACTTGTATTTTTTATTTTCATCAGTTGTGTAGTATGTGAGCCTCTGTTTCCCCACATCCTTGATAAATTTGGGCATTATCAGTCTTTTAAAACTTAGGGGAAAGAAATCAAGTTTTAATTTATCTGCCTATTATTTATGAAATTGAGCTTTTATTATGTATATTGCTTATTTGTATTTCTTTTATGCTTTGCTTATTAGTCGGTTTAATTTGTTTTTCTCTTGGATTATCTTTATTGGTTTGTAGCTATTGTTAAGCTGGTTCCCTTTTCTTTTTAAATTTTTTTGAGGCATGGTCTTGCTGTGATCACCAGGCTGAACTCAGACTCCTCTGTGCTCAGCTCTGTTGCTTGTATTTTAACTTTGTGTATGGTATTTTTTATTTCATTTTTGTGTAGTCTGATCTTTTTTTAGAAATAAACTCAAATCCCATGACGGATTAAAATCTGCCTTTCTTTATGTGTGGTTTCTAGCCTTGATGTTCTGCTTTGAAGATTATAAAATTGCCAAACCTTGCAAAGATTATAAAAATACATTTGCAAATTTGTTCCTTTTTCTGTTTATGTACCCAGCAAGAATTCTTTGCAGGTAAGGAAGGTGTCCAGATCTGTTGCTTGGGATATGAGTAGATCTTAGACTTACTCTTCTGCATTTCATGATATCTTTGAAGACCTACTAAGCAGGGAATGCTCATTATAAGAGTCCCAGTCGGCTCGGCGCCTATGGCTCAAGTAGCTAAGGTGCCAGCCACATACACCTAAGGTGGCAGATTTGAATCCAGCTTGGGCCCGACAAAAACAACATTGCTTGTTTCACCCAAAAAATAGCTGGGCGTTGTGCCGGGCGCCGGTGGTCCCAGCTACTTGGGAGGCTGAGGCAGGAGACTCGCTTGAGCCCAGGAGTTGGAAGTTGCTGTCAGCTGTGATGCCACATCACTCTACCAAGGGCCGCAACTTGAGGCTCTGTCTCAAAAAAAAAAAGAGTCCGAGTCAATACATTAGGGCCAACTTGCTGATCTCTGCCCCTTAGATGTTCACACCCAAGATAGCTGCTCACGCTGGAGACAGTCCTGGGAAGCTATGAGTAGGATGGCTTCCATTCCGATGAAAATTCTGTTCCAAAAGTTTAGACTTTTAGTGTAGACTGAGTGAGATCAAGATTGTGTAATTTCTTTTAGTTTTATGCTGCCATCAGTATGAGGAGCATAGAGGAGGAGGGTAAAATAATGAGAAAGGAAAAGAAAGGGGATGTGCGTGGGAGGAATTGCGTAGGAAGGAAACGTGCGGCAGTGCTGAGGCCTGGCGGTGCAGGTTTCTTGCAAACATCAGAGAGCTCAGTGCAGTGTTGCCAGCAGTTCATTCTCTGAATGATGTTTTGTTTTCTCTTTGTGGTTTGAAGCATTTGTGGTCCCAAAACAGATTGAAAACCACTACTTGTTTTAACCTGATCATTAACATACAATACAGTCTTGGTGTTTCCACGGTGCATACACACCGCCTCCCCTTTCTGTGTGTGTTTAAACAATCACCACTGTTGGAGTGAAGAATCACTGTGTAATTTCAAAAGTGAAACTCTGATGTGAAACTCTCATTTCCTCCAGAAGCAATAAAGTAAGTAGTTGTCAGCCTCAAATTTGATTCTTTGCAAGTTATAAGACAGACTATGGCTCTGTGTATTGTTCTCTGTAGCATCTGACACAAATGTCTGTTTCACAACTGAGGTATCCTGTAAGCAGTATTTTTTAGACTTAGCCTGAATTAGGATGGATTTGTAACTTCTCTGTATCAGGAGATTTACAAAACAGGGTATAAAAATAGGGAATTCTTTTAACTTTTTAAAAAACCAAACAAACCTGTGTACCTCATTTATTTGCTTTGGTTACTGGCTTAGCCACAAAGTGATTTGTGTGTATGTTACAGATTTCTGACATGTTTTTTGAGACAAGTCTTTTTTTTTAGACAGAGTCTCACTATGTCGCTCTCAGTAGAGTGCAGTGGCGTCACAGCTCACAGCAACCTCTAACTCCTGGGCTTAGGCGATTCTCTTGCCTCAGCCTCCCAAATAGCTGGGACTATAGGTCCCCACCACAACACCTGGCTCTTTATTGTTCTTGTTGTAATTATCATTGTTTGGCAGGCCCGGGTGGGGTTTGACCCTCCAGCCCTGAGTGTATGTGGCTGGTGCCCTAACAGCTGAGTTACAGAAGCCGAGCCAATCTCAAGGTTTTTAATTACTAAGAATAATCAGAGTTGTGAGAACTAGTCTTCTCTCAAACTGGAGTATAAATCCCACAGATAAGGATTGCTTTAATTCTTCGTCTTCCCTTGAACTGTGCCTGGGGTGATGGGATGAGTATATGACTGATCAATAAATACCTGCTGCTTGCCTGTTTGATACTTGTGCCATCTTTAACAATTCCACTTGCTTATTTTTGCATTGTTTTGGGCCATATTCTGAGAATTAATATTACTTTTCATTAGGCAAATTGTTATTTTTTTGAGACAGTCTCTGTTGCTGGGCAGAGTCAAAGCTCACAGCAACCTCAAACTCTGGGGCTCAAGCGATCCTCTTGCCTCAGTGTCCCAACTAGCTGGGACTAAAGGTGCCCGCCACAACGCCCGGCTATTTTTAGTTTATTTAGTTTAACGGGGTTAAACTCTGGCTGAGGCTGGTCTCAAACTCCTGAGCTCCGGCAATCCATCTGGCTTGGCCTCCCAAAGTGCTAGGATTACAGTTATGAGCTGCTGAGCTCGGCCCAGGCAAATTATTCTCAAGTCAGGTAAGTTTTGCACATAACAAGGACGCTCCTGCACACGTGGAACTCTCTCAGCTTGGAGAAATTACTTAGGGTAAGCCAGCGTGTGTGAAATGCTGCCCATTTTACAACTGGAGTTGGAATTTTTTGCTATTAATGTTTATGAATCTCCTTTTGCTTTTTAGGACATTAGGAAATTTTTTGGAGTTATACCAGGAGGAAAGAAACTTGGAAGTGAAACAGTAAAGAAGAATGAGAAAACAAAGTCTGCTGAAGAAACATTAAAAACGAAGAAAGGAATAAAGGAAATCAAGGTTAGTTTTCCAGATACTCTTATATTTTGCGTTGTATCAAGTGTTACATAAACTCAGTCCTTAAACTTGACATGCTGAGAGCCTTGAGTAAATGTGGATTATAGCTCATTTAGCAGAAGAAGGAAGGGAATAAGGCTGTTACTTATTTCTAATTAATCTGGCTTACTGCATTCCTAGCTTGCTGTTTTCCTGGTATAGAATCGAACCCTTTTTAAATGTTCAAACTTTGCATTTTAAGACCAAAGTTTACTCATAGAGACCTGAGCCCCTATGGTCAGGTAAATGGTGTTAGATTTCTGGAGGGAGAAGGCTTCAGTTGAAAGCTTTCTTTTTCTTTCTTTCTTTTTTTTTTTTTTTTTT